GAAAGTCTTACAAAAATACCAAACGTTAATAAAATAAGAGCAAGAAATGAGGAAATAAGGGCGATGTGTGGAATAGAGGACATAAACCTTTACAAAGTGAATAAAAAGAACAATATAATGGAATCAACATACACAAAAAGTAAAAAGAATATCAGAAAACAGAACAGTGTGAATAGCAAGACATAGATCGCCAGTCAGAAGTGCAATATGATACCCAAGGAAAAGGTGGTCCGATAAGATCAATTGAGGTTAAAAATCAAAGTAAAACAAGAATGAGGCTATCAATAAAACAGGCAGAAAAAGATGAGAGAAGATTAATCGTCTTAAGCTATACTAAGCACTTATTGGGAAAAACTATTCTTTCCTGAAATTGTAGGCTTCCACGGCCAGAGTCAGAATTATAGTTTATTCGTCTTCCGGGTTTGGACCGTGTCATTTGTGAGTCACTCACAAATGACACGGTCCAAACCCGGAAGACGAATAAACTACTATTCTTTCCTACCTAGAACTTACATGGAACAACAAACTCTGTATACTATTCGCAATTTAATATATTAATAAATTTAATATGAATTATTTTCAACGAAAATGTATCACTTTAATATATTGTAAGAAACCCACCTTTTATATTCTCATTTTTTGTGTGGAGTACACTAAATGACTAATATTTCAATAATTGGTGATAAAACAGCAACGAATCGGAAGTTTTATAGGCAGCGCTATACCTAAATAGAAAATATTATACACAGAAAAGGACCGCCTTTTTTACATTTAACTAATAATTAATACCTTAATACAGTTTAATTTGTGGATCAGTTCGATGTATTTATTGTACCGCCTAAACTGAATCTTTCATTACTATTCTTTTTGTCATTATTCCCATACGAAGTGGATACAGTGATGATACTAGCATGGTGTCTAAATAATACAATATGAAGAAACAAGTAAAAAAGATAACTAGAATAAATAAATTACCAATTAGGCCAATAATGAAATTAACAGCGGAAACAACGGCGTATGACTAAAACACAAAAATTATTAGAGAAAGCAGGAATGACAGTTTTAGGAATAATTACAAACCAAACGCAAACAGTCAGTAAGAAATAATAAGAGTGAAATGTAAGGAATAAACCCGTGGACAAAAATAATAAAAATAGAATGGAATCAGCATATATAAAGAAAGACAGAAAGCAAGACAGTAAGAATATAAAGAAACAATAGAAAAAAGGGCAATAGGACGCCGGAGGAAAAAGTGGTACGATAACATTATTATCATCATCATTCTGGCTTTCCAACCCCCACTCGTCCATATCCAACGCCTTCCTACGCCAAGCACGTATTCCGATATTCCTCATTGCTTCATCGATGTTATCAAGGAACGTTGTTCTAGGTCTTTCTCTTCTTCTCTGACCAATGGGTCCATCAAGGAGCGTTTTTTTAGCTGGGTCATTTTGTTTCATCCGCATTACATGCCCTATCCACCTCAGACGTCCTGTCTTAATATATTTTACGATATCTGGTGCCTGGTATATTCTATTAAGTTCGAATTTGTATCGTCTTCTCCACACTCCATTGTCATTTACTGCTCCATAGATTCGCCTTTGTAATTTTCTTTCGCAATACCCTAACTTGTTTTCAGTACTTTTTGTTAGAGTCCAGGTCTCTGAACCATACGTTAAGACTGGGCGTATTATTGTTTTGTAGAGTTTTACTTTTGTATTTCTTGATATAATTCAGAATTTAAGAAGGAGGTTAAAGGAAAATAACATCTGTTGGCCATTCAAATTCTACGGTTTATCTCTGCAGTAGTAAATATTATTTTCAACGCTCCCAGGTATAGAAATTCATTCCTGCTTCAATGGCGTAGTATTTTATAGCAAGTGGTCATAAGATTTGTGGTTGCGTGCTTATTTTCATGTCCGATAACATTAGTTGAGACTAAAATCTGAAGCAGAGTATGGGTTGGTTGGTCCAGATAGTATGGCGTCAGAGGATGGCTACTGACAGATGTCATGCCAACTGTCAATTCTTTTTATTTTCCGTCTCTCAAGTTCAACTGTTAATTCGTCTTCTTTTTGAATTCGTTTTCTTTTCCGCAGCTGTCAATTTTCCTCTTTCTTTTCGACTATCACTTCTTCTCCTTTTTCGTCCGTTAATTCTTCTCCTTTTACATCTGTCAATTAATCTTGTTTTGTTATCAGTCAAAAACGATTACCGAGACAGAGCAATATGTCCAATGAGGATACAAGCAAATGGGATGGCTTCCAAATTAGAAGGGTGCTAATAGTGGGCACCAGGGGAGTCTAACATGGTCAAATGGGGAGGCGGTTAGGTGGAGCGGCGAGGATATAGCATAGTCTGGTGGAAGGGGGTAGTCCAACACGACCTAATGGGGAGGCAAGCATTCCGACACGGCTAGATAGAAACTGTCAGATGTTAACTGTTAGCTGTCATGCCAACTTGTCATGTCTTCTTTTAGGACTTAATCTTACTAAACGTCATTAATAATTATTATGAGTTAATACAAACAAGATTACCCAAATCGTAAAAAGTGCTTTCACGGATTATACCAATAGCCCTAATATTAGTTTATGATTAATATTAAGAAATACTGTTTCGATATTTTTAGTGTAATTACTATCAATAGATTTTTGTGCGTTAGAATGACCAATTTATTAAAAAATTTATTGTCTCTAACAGAGAAGCTGCACTTCCTAACAGTTCCTAAAGTAACTAGCTAATTGGAACAAAGTAACTTTGTTATAAATACCAAAGAACAAAGAAATTGCTGATAACGAGATTGCTAAACTACGTTTATTGGACAACTAAAATTTTGAAAAGAAGTGTCGAAGAAGAAAATATGCCCAACTGTGGGAAAAGGCAATTGCTGTGGCCTACCGAAAAAATATTGCTGGCCAAAGAGAACAAAAGGTTTATTCAAGCTTTTTTCACTACGCAAAAATACTCTTAGAGCTTCAAAAAACTTAACTCAGAGTAGTAAAAGGTATTATCGCTGGACATTGCTGTCTCAGATATTACCTTATCAGATTTAATTTCCAGAAAAGGAAAAAGTTTATAAGGCACCATAAAGATGCAAAAGATTTGGCCAAATATATTGTCTGGAACAGCAGGGTCATTGTTTGTCTAACGTACTTTCTTAGTCTATAGATTTTGGAGTGAAAACTAAATACTTTTAGGGTATACATAAAATATATTTCTGGTCAAAGTGTGGAAATCTCTGCGAAGGCACATAATCCTTTTTAATTAAAAATTTAAGCATTATATTATTACCAATTCCACAGCCACCTTGACTTCCAAGCCATGAAGTAAAAAAGGCAACACCGCATTCTATGACGTCAGTAGTCCGATAATTAGCTGTAAGGTCTACCAGAAATTTAAACTAATTTGAATTTTAGGAAACTGATATTTTGAAAATTTCAATTCATTACAGAAATATTTTGAGGGAAATTAAATATTTTTATTATTATTAAGGTTATATTATCAATAGAATAATCATTACAGTAAAATTTATTGCACTTAAAATACAGTGTCAAACAGTTAATCTTACAATCAAATGCAGTCAAGAATCTCTAGAAATTTTAAATATTAAGTACTTAAGCATATAAATAACACAATACATTAACACGACATTTAAAAAGATTATTAAAAATACAAAAGACATACAATTTGTTAAGTAAAAACTTGTGTAACTATTATGATTAAAAAATTCATCCTAAGAAATCAGACACAATATAAATATGGTTCTAAATTAATCTAATATAAATTATCTATCGATTTAAAATAGCCTATATTCTCAAAAGATTTTTGAATGTTATACTCAAATTTGTTATCACTTATCTAAAAAGCAGATCTATATCCAGAAAGTAAGTTCTCTAATTGTGACTATCTTGTTAATTTACTATATTGTAAAATTCATTTCAAATCATTACTACTTAATCTATTCTTACCTACACTGACGATTACACTAAAATTACTGCTAACTATTACACTACTTATTACTCAAATATTATCACACTCGTGTCCCAACTGATTAATGTTTAATACATAGAAATATACACAGTCACTTGTAATTTTACTTGTCCAGTTTTTCAATGGGATATTATTGTCTAAGTCTCTTAAAAATGTAAATGTTAAATGTTCTAATCTAATCTAATCTAAGAATTCTGTTATCTATTGTTCCCTCTTCTTATGCAAAAAGTTTCTTCTGTCTTCGGGATTCCTTCTTTCTTTAGTACGATGAACAGTTACATATGATAGTACTTCAGAAAATATATTAGGAACTGCATTGTATTTAATTTGGGAAATATTAACTTTTCAATGTGTACATTTCCATCTTTATCTTCTGATTGTTCAGTCCGCTGAATATCATCTTCATGAAAATGTTTGGCACATACTACGGAAGATTTGGTAATTGTATAGCCTTCTCTATGAATAGAGCATAACCCAGTATACCTTCTTTGGGGATCTTTGGGAAACGAAAACTTACTTTCTGCCTGTTTCGTTTTTAAAGTACTGGCATAATTGGTTTTGCAACCAGGTACACAACAATGCCAGGGCATCTGTAACAAGAAACAAAAGTATTATTATTGTTGTTTTTAGTTTACATATTTTTTAACAAGAAGCAAAAGTATTATTATTTTCAGTTTGTGTTGTAGGTTATATTTATACTTGCCTTTTACAATGTCGTTAAGAATCTTCTAAGAGTTCTAAACCTAATGAAATTTTACTTATATTAATATTTTCTAATTGATTTAAACACAATTTACAAATAAAACATTCGAATAAAGTTAAGAAACACTAAATTCAACAAACTTTACAAGCCTTCCTATATGAAATGTTAAACAAAACAAACCACAGTCGGACTACCACGCGTTGTTGCCAAATTTCTACTTCATGGCTTGGAAGTAAAGGTGGCTGTGCCACTTCACATATTTATTTTAAGTTAATATGCGTTATTTATGTGATATATTTATTTTCAGGACTTCATATCAGCCGTAAGCTCCGGTAAAACAGATATCCGAAAGGTCCTCCGCACGCAGGAAGGAAACCACCAAGTGGTATCCACAGGACCAAGACTAGTCCTCGACACTAAAAAGAGCAAAAAAACCACCGACACAGAAGATACTCGAGAATTAAGTGCTGTCCGTGAGGATGGTAAAATCGTGACAGAAACGCAGAGAACTACCGAACACGAAGAAGTTAAGGACGATGAGCTTCCGGATGATGAACCCGATCAGAATTTCCAAAAGGAGAGCTCTCAAAGGTAAGAACATTTCCATAGGAATAATATGTTAAGTGTTATTTTAACTACACTTATTGAAGTAAGTTTAAGTAAAAAATTTAACTTAGTCCAGTCGTCAGATAGTTGAACCCTAGAAATCATACGAACAAGCTGAATTTTTCCGAGAATATTAATTTTGGGACCCCAAAAAAGATGCAAAAGTGTTTACACTTTTACCTCCGGGCTACCCCTAAAATCCGGACAAAAACGCAAAACAGTTAATTTACCTAAATTTAATCAATAAGAGTGATTAGTTTCATTGACCAGTCGTAGTAAAATTTCCATTTTTCGAGATCAATTTTTAAAACCTATGCCATGAAATCTCAATTTTGAGTTGTGACAACAAAGACGAGGCATTAAAAGAAGTAATTTCATAACATTTGTTAAAAGTCGACACGAGAAAAAGACCAGAAAGGCCCTCTACATTTGAAGCAATTAATCGACTTTTTGCCATAAGATTTTGGGTGGCCATACCCTTGGGATCTTGTGCAATGATATTTTTTCGTCTTTGCAGTTCGATTTTGATTATTCAATCAAATAGAAATTCCATTTTGAAGATGTATTTACTGTTATCATGGGCTTCCAGATAAAAAATAATAGATATAATGGTTAATTACTGATTATATGTTTAACATTGACAATGGTTCTGAGTTTTGTGTAATTTTATCTCTTTTTAACTCTTTTCGTTTTCATATGATGGTGTTGGCGAAGCAATTAAAAGTTTAATACAAATATTTTGAATAGAAGTTAATTTGTTAATAAATCAACTTTAGGTATAAATAATTACCTTTTTAAACAAATGAAATGTAGGGGATGGTGGCCCACAATGATCTTTGTGGACAAAACTATCCGTCATATTATTTTTAGGACTGGTAATGTATTTTTATAGTGGCGTACCCATCAGTCAACGCATTTCTACAGTCAGATGAATATAAGCCTCTAGCGTAGAAACATCTTGTTTCTCGACTTTCAAGCTTTATTTAAAATAAGTACTCTGAAACTATATCAATGTTACTTTTTCAGTAGCAATATTCAATTGTGATATAGTTGCTGTAAGTCCAATATTTTGCCGATAATTTTAGATGTTTACGAAATACCAAACTTTGACTGCTACGTAATAAACATGGCTGCCAGAAAAGTGTGCTCTTTCAGGCAAAATGATCCCCCATGGTGTCTGGTTAAATGATTTGTAAATGGTTTTGCCCTCTCTACTAAAAAATTTATGACAACAAATATAGGGCAATTGATTTTTTTAGGACGACCAAATGGTTCAAAAATATAAAGTGGCAGACCAAAAATGAAACAAAGATAAAATGCGGCAAGAAATAAAAGGTGTGTATAGGAAATTTGGAGGTGTCGTAGATGAATTTGAAGCGACGTTGTAAGGAGAGAACAAGCTAGCAACCGACCATTTGAAGAGACTTGAAAGCAAAACTAGCATATTTGCCAAGAAATAAGAACAACAGATTGTTCCATCTTTGTTGCCTTACCACCTAAGGTCTATGGACTACTAACTCGACATTGGGAATGTCATTGTACATAGATTTTCGGATTAAACAAAACTTGCTGTTAAAGAGTGGTTAAAGGATTTTCACACGAGACTCCTTCTACCTTTTCTAAGATCTACTGAAGTAACATCGATCGCCCGCAGTCCTGCTTTTAACAGAATTGTAATAAAATTGTTCACTTTGCTTAAGATCATATTGGATAATTGGAGCAAAATTTTGTGAAAACTATAGAACCATAAGGCTAATGAGCCATCTGCTGAAAGTGTTTTTAAAAGTCATCCATAAAATAATTTACCAGAAATGAAAGGAACAAATTGCGTCCAACCAATTTGGATTTGTGAACGCCGTTGGTACGAGGAAAGCTTTATTTAGCGTGCAGGTATTGTTTCAGAAATATAGAGATGTCAGCTGTGATGTTTGTTTTTGCATGCCTGATTGGCTATAAAAAGGCTTATATAGAGTCAGGTATGAAAAATGATGGAAATGCTGAATAGGATAGGGATTGACGGAAGAGACCTATAAATAATAGCTAACTTGTATTTTAATCAATCAGCGGTGCTCCGAATAGATGAAGAATATACATATCAGGTCAAAATATTAAGGAGAGTGAGACAGAGGTACATTATTTTATCACTGATATTTAATCTATACTCGGAGCACGTTTTTAAAGAGGCTCAATAACCTGCGGTATACAGATGATACAATAGTGTTTTTCAATACTATAATGGAAGCAAAACTTAATGAACAAAATAACGGAAAAAAGTAGAATATATAGGCTGGATATAAACACCAGCAAAACCAAGCTAATGAGCATCAGCAAGGAAAACATAACTGGGGCAAATCTGTATGTGAACCAAATGAGAATTGAACGTGTCTTACAATACAACTACTTAGGAACTAAAATCAATGAGTTGTTGGACAATACCCAAGAGATTAAATGTCGCATCGGAAAGGTAAAAAGTGCATTTTTGACTATGAGCTCCATATTCAAGAGCCATGGCCTCATCTTAGAAACAAAAATAAGGCTCCTTAAATGTTACGGGTACTTAGTGCTTCGGTACGTAGTAGAATCGTGGACATTGAAGGCGGAAACTTTATCAAAACTTTAGGCTTTTGAACTATGGTTATACAGAAGGATCCTGAAGATACCATAGACAGACAAAGTCACCAATGAAGAAGGTCTGTACAGGATAAACACAACCGCGGATTTGGTCCACATTGTGAAGGACCGTAAGCTGCAGTATTTAGCAAGGTAAAATTGAAGGAAAAGTGCCTCCGTGATGAAGAAAAATATCCTTGCTTGCTTATCTAAGAGCATGGTATAGAAAGACCTCAACACAGCTATTCGGTATAACAACCAACAAAGTCGTCATAGCCAGAATCGTCGCCAACAACGTTAGGAACGGACAGGCACTCTAACTAAAAGGGACACTCAGAGTATATAATCTAGATGAGATATTTGTCAGTACAGTACCAGAAAAATACTGTAAGATTCTTGCCAAAAAAAGTTAGAAACAAGTTGGTAGAGTAGTCTCTGCCAAACAAGGTGTATCTACTACCTCAGTCATTTGTATGTCTGCGTTAGATTCATATGTTTCATCCATGTTAGTTTTTTCCCGAAAGAGATTAAAGGACGAGTTGATATGAAGCAGCACCAGGAGCAGCATTTAGTTGCAATGATTCTGCAAGATAGATAGAGTTCGTAGAAAGTTCTAATGGTTGTACTACATAATCCATGTTTATGTACTCACCATATTATAAGCAGTTTACTTTTTTTATATTAGTTTAAATGATTTTATATAATATATAATATTTTTTAATTTAATTTATTTCACTTTATTTCCCATAAAAAATACCTGTTTTTATAAAAATGAGGTAGTGATTATCTTCCTACATTTTTATATATTAATTGCATGTACCATACTAGTAAAATACATTGTTAAATATAAATTGCATGTACTGGAAAGATAATACTTGATGCATCTAAAAATAATTTTCCGAATTTTCTGGCCTGTAATTGAGCATTATTTAGATTTTTGTCTTACAGGGATAATTTTGGCCACTCTTCCCTATATATTAACCAAAAACATATTATTATATAGGTATTTGATTATTTAAGTAAACACCGATGTCCGTTATTTAACAAGTAGGATAATTACAGTGATTTTAAATATTTGCGAATGTAAGAATGCAAATCACAGTTAAATTAACAGACCAAGAAACGTATTATCACTTCCATGTAACTGTTCTTGACCATATTTTAATGAAAGTAACACCAATATTGTTGTTCTTTATCGTTGTCTAGTGTATTATGCATGCTTCTGAAAATTAACGACAGTATTGTACACCTGAGAATGCGGTATAACCTAGAACTACTGTCAACCGGCTATTACAATTTAGTTCTAAAGTGACCTACTAATTTAAATAGTATTCAAATGTGCAAATCGTATCTAAAAATCAATCACAGTAAAAATGTTTTGGAGCAACATAATATATATATAGTAGTAGCGATGACTGAGGAGAAATCAATATCTGTTGTAGATATATATATATATATATATATATATATATATATATATATATATATATATATATATATATATATACCGGGTGTTGAGTCGTCAAACGGGCCATACGAAATTCAATGGGAAATTCTAATTGTTGAATTCGTGCTTCGCTAATTATTTTACATCAAAAGTTATAAATTTGTAGAGGACTGAAATATGTATTAAAATAAATGTTTTTTATTTTAATACATATTTAATACATTTATTTATTTTATTTTTTACAAAGTTTTGTAAAAATGTAATAAATTTTTCAGGCCACCCCTTAAAGTGAGGCCACACGAGGTACAAAAATGTATATGACATGTTGCGTTTGGTCATATTGATGATTCTGATATTTGACAATATTTGGATTGTCAATATTTTTATTTTGTGATTAAATTTTACACAAATACTAAAATACGCAAATTTTCACAAATACTAATGCTACTAGTGAACAATAAATAGTACTTTGTAAACAATAAATTATATATTTACAAAGCAACAAAATTTATGAAATATATTCGGTTCTCGAAAAATCGCAATGTTGTATTCAGGCAATAGTGCGAGCACTGCCAGATCTTTATTTAACCAAATCATAATACACTCCAATCCAATTCGAGGTTATACAACAATTCAAAGAATTTCAATATAGTTTTACTGTGATACTTCCTTATGATAATTTCTAAACATAAAACTATAACAAATGTTCAAACAATAAGTCATTTTGTACTAACCAGTATCCTACCGATTGTAAAATTCTCGTCTAACATTAGCCAGAATGCGTGACGTTATTTTTGCACACTCTTCAATAATTCGCATTTTAAATGCTTCAATATCTGTAAATTTTTGGTCAGAATAGATTTTTGAGTTTAGATGCCCCCAGATAAAATAATCGTTTGGAGCTTATATCTTACGCTAAATAAAGAACTGACAATTATTACCTGAATAAAACATTTTAATTAATTATTGCTATTTTCTCCTCAACTGAATACATTTTTTAATCAACTGTATAGTTTATAAACAATAAATCACAAAATTAAAATTTTGGCAATTCAAATATTGTCAAATATCAGAAACATAAGTATGACCAAACGCAACATGTCACACCATTCTTGTATCTCGTGTGGCCTGACTTTAAGGGGAAGCCTAAAAAATGTATTATATTTTTACAACATTTTGGAATACATTTAATTCGTAGAACAATTTTAACATTTGTTTTTAATACATATTTCAGCCCTCTACGAATAGTTTCTCATGACTTTTGATGTAAAATAATTAGGGAAGCAGGAATCCGACAATGTAAAAGTTTCCATTGAATTTCATATGGCCCGTTTTTTGACGATTCACCACCATATATATATATATATATATATATATATATATATATATATATATATACATATATATGCATATAATATATATATATATATATATATATATATATATATATATATATATTTATATAAAATTAATGTTTCTTGGGTTTAGGTTCAATAAAGATATGTTACATGTGGAACTAGATTTTATTTTCCATTGCAATCAATCAATGTTTCGGCAGGAAACCCTTGCCTTTGTCAAGATTCAAAACGTAAAACGTGACACAGATATTAACTAACTGTTAATTATATATATATATATATATATATATATATATATATATATATATATATATATATATATATATATATATATATATATATATAAACGAAAACTCTCGAAAAAAAAACAAAAAATTTAAGCCAAAAACATTATGTATCGTCTGTATTAGATATAAAAGAAGGTACAAATATTCGCAAGGTTTATAACCAATGTGTTTTACCTGTACAAACTTATGGAGCAGAGACTTTAACACTCACGCAAAAATCTGCGAATAAACTTAGAGTTACACAACGAGCCATGGAACGTGCAATGCTGAACGTGAGCCTTCGAGACCACATAACAAACCAACAAATCAGGCGAAGATCAGGAGTTCAAGACGTCATCGAAAGAACCACGACGCTTAAGTGGAACTGGGCAGGGCACTTAGCCAGAACACAAGATGGACGGTGGACAAGACGTATTATGGAATGGAGGCCCAGAAATTATAAAAGAAGCCGAGGACGACCACCGACTAGATGGACCGATGACATTAAACGTGTAGCGGGAAACTGGCTACAAGCGGCCCAGTGTAGAGAACACTGGAAAGAACTGAGGGAGGCCTATGTCCAGCAGTGGACGCGATTGGCTGATTGATGATGATGATGACAAATATTCGCATACAAGAGCTTAAAAATTAATAAACGTGTTAATAATGATTTCAAGTTCCTCAAAAAATAATACAAATTCTGATACTGATACAGAAGGCAGAACAATATCAATGAGTGGACAAACGTTATTTAAATAAAATTTTAATTACCTTTACCTTTTAATACGCCTTTGCGAAACCCAAATTTTCTAACATTCCAAATGTCCAGTTTATGTGACATCAAGCTAATAGCCCGGTAATCGTCTCATTCTCTTGCGTTTTTAATTGCCTTTTTTGCCTAATTAAATCATATTAGTTTGTGCCTTTCGACTTTCGTAAGTTTACAATATTAAAGTGGATGGTCAATTGACAGAGACAGTCTCCATAGATAGAGGAGTGAGACAAGGATGCATTCGGTCCCCGGTGTTATTTAATAAATACTCTGAATATATCTTCGAGCAAGAGCTGGGAGAACTACAAGAAGGCGTATTAGTCAACGGAATGCGCCTAAACAACATTAGATATGCCGAAGACGCCGTAGTTTTTGCAGATAGTCTGGACGGTTTGCAAAGAATAATGTCGGGTATATCACATATAAGTAGAGAACACGGACTTGATCTTATTACGAAGAAAACAAAGTACATGGTAGTCAGTAAGCGCGAAATATTAAATACACAGCTTTTGGTTAACCAACATCCAATTGACAGAGTGGACAGCTACACATACCTTGGTACCAACATTAACAGCCAATGGGATCACTCCAGTGAAATAAAACAACGCATAGGAAAAGCGAGATCAGCGTTCATAATGATGAAGTCTCTTTTCAGAAATCATGATTTACCACTTGCTACCAAAATCTCTCTCATTAGATGCTATGCATTTTCTACCTTATTATATGGAGTAGAGGCCTGGACACTTTCCGAAGCTTTCTTAAAAAAACTGATGTTGAGGTCCTAAGTAGAATAGGCAAGGAATGCGAGATTATTAACACCATCAAAGACCGCAAACTAGAATATCTTGACCATGTTATGAGGAATGAACAGAGATACGGCTTGTTGCAACTCATTCTTCTTCTTCTTCTTCAAGTTCCACTCCTATCGGAGATTGGAAATCATTCTGGCAATTATAATTTTATTGGTTACTCGCCTGAATAGTTCAATTGAACTGCATCCAAACCACTCACGGAGATTGCGTAGCCACGAGATTTTACGTCTTCCTACGCTTCTTCTACCTTTGATTTTACCCTGCATTATATTCCTTAGTAGTTCGTACTTTTCACCTCTCATGATGTGCCCCAAGTATTCCAATTTCCTGATCTTTATGGAATTTAAAACTTCGCATTGTTTTCCTAGTTGTTCGAGAACTTGTTCGTTTGTTTTGCGATCCATCCATGATATTTTCAAAATGCGTCGGTAACACCACATTTCGAATGCTTCTAGGTTTTTAATGTTGGATTTTTTAAGTGTCCAAGCTTCAACTCCATACAAAAGGGTAGAGAAAATATAACATCGACATGCGGCATCTTATTTCTTTTGTCTGATAAGTATCTTCTGTGATCCATGTTCCAAGGTATTTGTACGAAGATATTACTCATTCTTCAGGGCAAGGTATTTGGAAAGAGGGGACCAGGGAGAAGAAGAATATCTTGGCTTCAAAACCTGAGGAAGTGGTTTAATACATCGATAACCGGACTATTCAGAATAGCATCAAGCAAAGTTGGGATAGCCATGTTGATCGCCAACATCCGGAACGGATAGGCACCGTAAGAAGAAGAAGACTCTCGTAATCCCAAGAGCTATCGTTGCTATTTTTGATTAAAAAGGATGCGGCCTTATAGACGTTCAGGCATAATCCGATGTATAGTAACACCATTCACACCATTGCCCACTTGAGCAAGAGCGTTAACCAAATATCTGACCCTGCGGTTCCTCCCGTGCTAAGCAGAATTACTACTGCAACAACGAGTCACATATTGTGTAAAACTAAGATCTTTTAGTACGGTATAATTCCGGACGTGTACGAACTCATTACTTTATAGCCCCCCATAAAATTATTAGACCCTCCGAGACAAACTGATCACCGGCATCCTTTGGAGATCGGTAAACTCATCACCGCAGATAAGTAAACTAATCACCAGCCTTTTTGCCCCAAGGCCTGCTACCTGCTACATTTCGTGTTAAGTTGGTAATCAATTAAATTTAAAAATTATTTGAAGCGAATTGCTTTAAAATTTAACTGATATATTTGTATCTGGTGTCCTACCAGTGAATGGCCTATTAGACGTATCTGACAACCTAAACGGATTTAAAACCTGTATATTCAGGTCTGTACGTTTTATATGGTAAAATTTTTAATGAAAATATGTGTGAGCACGTGATATTTTCGATTATATCTGAAATAGTCCCCAACTTCGTTATTTTTGCATTCGGACTATGATTATTCTTTCAAATGATCTAACCTTTTTTATGACTATTTGACTATTTTAAAATTCTTGCTTTTATTGTGGTAATGAGTTTGTACTATCTACGAGGGTAGATAAGCTAATTGGTGATGAGTTTACGTGTACCCATAATTGTTGGCTTACGTTACCTGTCGTAATTACCTTCGTAATTACATTCCTAACATTTTCTCGTTCAAATGCGTTAAATCGTTACATTGATCTTATGTTCTGTCTGGTGAACACCAGCCTTTTGATTTGAACTGTTTTCCTTTACATGCAAATCATACTGTAAATGTTGCCACTTAAATTCTGTTAGTTTAGCAGTTATATTTCCAAAAAACTGTCAACTTTGACTTTAAATTGTACAAAATGCCAAACTTAAAATTTGGTGTGCTGCAAGAAGTATACATCTCTTCTTTTCACTGTCACGATCGCCGTTTACCCTCGTCGGCGTGTGAGTCTACTCACAGAAAGAAGAAGCAAATAAGCTATAAATACAAAATTAACTTACATGCTTAACTACCATATAGAGAAGCTGCAAATGGACCAGATACGTCGCTGAACGGTTCCTATTTAGAGACTTAATACAAATAAGGGTACTGGATATAATACAGGAAAAAGCCTGAACAAGATTCGCTGAGTTAGAAGACCACCTAAATCGAATCCTGCGAGAGATCTTAAGGTATGATGTGTACCATAGATAAAAGCACAGAAGACCCAAACAGCAAACATTAGCAAACATATAATTATTCAGATAGCCCTCAAAAAAATATACAAAAAATGGATTCCAAAAAATTAATAAAGCATTAACAAAAGACGCAAGTCGCAAAAATACTCGTTTTTGGTAGGTAGCACTTTGCTGATAAGAGAGCCTCTAGCGAGTCAGAGCGCTATCGGGAAGGGGGGAAGTGGAGTATAGATCCTGGTGAAGTGTTTACTGATTAATTATACGAGTTAATCCTCCTCGCTCCAATAAATTGTATCACCCTAATGTCATAATTAAGGGTGTGCTAGTCTCTGGGTTAAACTATTGCTTGCTTGCTTGCTTCAGTGTGTAAGAAGATTAAAATTACATTCGGCGTTGTCAGGTCTGATTTGAAATAAAAATATCCAATATTTAACACATACCTAAATTAAAATTAATATTTAATTTTTTAGATATGTAAAAACGAAAGAGCAGGAAGACGTTGATTACATAGCTGATGGTGTAAACATTGGACACGAAATGAGGTTCAAAACCGAAACGATGGAAGCTGATCGTCGCGGCGACGGTATTGACGAACCCGACTTGTTCGAATCGCTGTCCGCGAGAGCAAGAAGAAGAGGAAATAATCGCCAGCCATATAGGCCTCGAGGTAAATATTAAAATTTTTGTAGTGAAATCTTGTATTATAAAATGTAACATATAGACGTATCTTGTGTAGGGTATATCATTAAACATAGAGGACCGGATAGCTCAAAATTGAAATTTTTAACATCCAAATCTGTTCAACCTTCATAATATCAGTATCATAGATAAAATCAGAGGTAAAAATGGGTATATAAAGCAACCGCACTGACAGCTTTTCTGTACTTTTTTAATTTTGACCTAGTTTAATTCAAGCCTTCTGCATGGCTTCTGTATGGCAAAATATTGATATCTAGGTATTTGCAGTCGTTACAGTGCTTTATCTTGGTTCTGAGTAATTCTCTTGTATAATATGAGGTATTTTTGTTGTCCTTCACTGCATAAGTATTTGGTTTTCTTTTATGGACTTCTAGTTTTAATCATTATAATCTTGAGTCATTATTTTTGTTTTCATGTTTTTAAATTTTCATTTTTTTTTGTTCATGTTTTTCATTTTGCTATTTCTTTTGTATTCCGACCTATGTTTGTAATGTTTACACCGAGATATTTATAGCTATAAGTATTTTGAATTTGTTTGCTTCCTAGTTCTAAGTGCTTTCCTTCACCTTCCACTACTACGTACTCTGTTTTTGATAGATTAATTGATAAGCCCCACTTAGTATATTCTTCATCTATTTTTCGTAACATATAGTGGATATCATCTTGATCTTCTGCAAATATTACTTGGTCATTAGCAAATTGCAAACTGCACAGTGTATGGTCTCCAATTTTAACACCCATAGGTTCATATTTACTTCTCCAAATGTCCAAAACCCCCTCCAAATAAATCTTAAAGAGTGTAGGTGCAAAGCAGTAGCCTTGGCGAAGTCCTTTGGTCACTTTTATCTTTTTTGTCACTTTTTGTTCAATCTTTATTACACTCGTCATATCATCGTACAACTTCCTTACAGCATTATTGTAAATCGGTGAAATATTCTTGTCTTCTAGCACCTGCCATAGCTTGGCTAATGGGACACTGTCATACGCTTTTTAAAGATCAATAAATACCATGTGTGTCTTCATATTATGTTCCAAACGCTTTTCTATTGTTTGTTTTAGACAGAACACATTGTCTATACAAGAACGACCAGTACGAAAGCCACTCTGATCTTCAGCGTCTTCCCAACAATCTTCAATTCGGCTTTTAATTCTCTTCCCGTAGAGTCTACAGATTAAGTTAGTTACACTATGCCCTCGGTAGTTCTTACAATCTTTTCTGTCGCCTTTATTTTTGTATAGATTGCTGATATATGCAGTTTTCCATTCTGAGGGCAGCTCTTCTCCTCTCAAGAATAAATTAAAAGTATGAGCCAATAGCTGAAATAGTTTGTCAGTACTATATTTAATCAGTTCAATGGGTACTCCCCCCGGTCCTGGAGCCTTTCTATTTTTCATAGCGTTGGCGTGTTTTTTATTTCTTCTGGTGTTATTTCAGTTTCTCTTCGCGGTAGGAAATATCATATTTTTGGGAGCCAATATCTTGGAATTCTGTTCGATCTTCTGTCAGCACTTGTTCATAATATTCGACCCATAATTCTAGGGCTTTTAGAGTTAACCTACTGCATTCTTTTCTATCTCTTCTACTACCTCTAATTGTTTTCCAGGCTTCTTTACTTCTTGCTGTACCCATAAAATTTTCTACGTTATCGCAGGCTTTATTCCACATCTCATTTTTGGCTTAACTTACGTCTTTTTTTTACTTCTTTGTTTAAGCTGTTGTCGATAGTAAGGGTCCTTTGTTGCTAGCCATTTGTTATACATATTCTTCTTCTTCCCCACAAGATCTTCTATTTCTTTATTCCACCATTTATTTCTATTTTTTATGCTATCCATTTCTCCAATAGCTTCCATTGTAGCTTCGTCAAGAGCTTTCATAATTTCGTTGTACGTATTAATTGGCGAGGAGTAACAAACATCGTGCAATTTCAGATTAACCTCATTCGATACAGAAACTGGGTAGACTCATTTTCAATCTTGCAGTATCATTGAACTTTCGTTTTCTTTTTGTCGTTGGCTTCCGTTCCATGTACCAAAAAATTGTGCCTTTTTCTAAGCTTATTTTGTCTCTATTGTTCCATTTCATTCTGAGGCGTGTGATGAAACATTTTTTTCTTTTTACAAGTAGTGGGCAGTTAGCCCAATAGCTTTTTTTTAACCTATTCTCTATCCTTCCATTGTTGGATATAGGTCTCCCCCAGTTCGTTCTCTCCATCTTTCCCTATCTTGAGCTGTTCTCTGCCATGTGGGACCTCCTTGTTTCTTGATGTCATCTTTCCACCTCATCTGTGGTCTTCCTCTTGATCTCTTTGCATTGTATGGACGCCACTTTCCGATGCCATTGTTCCATCGTCCGTCTTGGAGACGTTCATTGTGTCCAGCCCATTTCCATTTCAGTTTTGCTGCTTGTTATATCGCGTGTACTGTCTTTATTCTGGTTCTGATCCACTGATTACGTTTTCTATCTCTAAGTGATACACCCAACATTTGTCTCTCCATCGCTCTTTGTGCCTTCCTTATCCTATCCAAATTGGCCTGTGTAAATGTCCATGTCTGTGCTCCGTAGGTGAGCACCGGTATTATGCAGGAGTTATATACCTTGCTTCGTAAGTATAGAGGGATTGTTTGATTTTTTAAAACGTAAGAAAGTTTGCCGAACGTTGCCCATCCCATTCTTACTCGTCTCGATATTTCGACTGTTTGATTTTCTCTGTTTAGCCCAATAGCTTATCCCCGAACTATTGGAACCAAGGCTTGGGATTGGAGTCTGCGTCTGCTTAACGGATTGCGGAATCTACCGCTAACGGGTTCCGTACACCCGGTCTGTTGATCCAAAGGTAGTATTTTATATCCCTTCTTCACTCAGAAACATTTCGGTGAGAACATTTCTCTATCCACCATCGGGGGACGCTGCCTCTAGGATTATAGATCCCCGAGGGTCATATTAAATTTACGTATCAAATATCTTACAGTTGTGGATCAGACTAGATTAGACAAAATGACAATAGTGTATTAAAATCTTCTTCGCAATCGATTGTATAGTTTTAAGTATAGAAAATCTGCACAACCCATTTTACATTCATCCGTACATAAATTGTATTATTGTCACATGTTTGTAGTTGGGAATTCTGTGTAAACATGTTATTTAACACTTTTAACAACATTTATGTTTTTCCTACACTTTCATGTTAACTAACCACTAATTTTACTAATCTCCCCGTTTTAGGCCTAGACGAAGTAGCGTCACCCTTAGACAGAAAAGACGCTCTTACTCGAAAGCCGCTAGACTTCGATCAGGAAGAAGAAACCCGTAAAGTTGAAACGTCCAAATGGTTAGAACATCATTTTGGAAGCGACTCGCGGTCTTCTAATAACTCTACTGTGGAAGATGAAGAACATCCCCCAAAAACAAGCTTTTTTAACGTTACTATTAAGTCGCAACCCACACGAGCCGAACCTGTTCCTAGAAACACTTTAGTTTCTACTGTTAAAGAGTCTTCACGGGTGTACAGCCCTGTAGAACCGGAAAGAGATAGAAACAACGGTAGTAGCTATTATAAAGGTAAGTTAATAGCGTGTTCCAAATAAAATCAATTTTTTATGCCTTTATGAACATAAACATTAACTTTACACATAATTGTTAGCACAAAAGTAACTAATATTGTTGATTTTAACCTCATACTAATCTAAATCAATAAAACCAGAAGACTTTTCTAAATTGTTGTAATATACGAAGGTCATCTAAAAAATTATTGGCCCGGTAGGAAAAATTATAATTTAAGCTTTAAAACAAATTTTATATTTCCACATAATCGTTAACCACTATTATTAAAACGTTTCATTCTGCGTTATCGCTATTGCCTTTATCTCTCCACTGTAGTGTTCATGTGGAAGTTCTGTATGGTACTCATCTACAGTCGCATTAAAACAAAAATGTGCCATAGCTTTCCTCTTTCTGGGCGAGTTTTTTATCCAAGAACTTGGATATAATAATCAAGATAGACTTTTATAGTTATTAGGTTATTCAGAATATATAGACTAAAATTCATATAAATTTTGTAATATTTTTTCAAAAGCCAAACATCAGAAAGCTCTTCAAACGCAAATGAACACGCAAAAGAAAAATAATTATGATATATTATGATACGTTTGTATTTCTTGTAATAAAAATTAGAGGTAATTGATTATATTCTAGAGATAATACCTGCAAACAGTGCATTAACAGGAGATGAAAAGAGTGCTTTTATTGGATCTAAACTAATAGGAGGCGGACTTCGCTCGTCATCGGATAACTTGGTGCCCCTGAATAGCTGTATGCTTATGGCAGCTTATCAACTGTTGATGGTAGGTTCTGCCTCTAATATGGCTGTAACAGGTAATGGGGAATCAGGATTTGATTCTGAAAAAGAAGCCTGAGAAATGGCTGTCATGATATTACAGCCAGTTATGATAGTTATGATTATTATTATTAAGAAAAGTAGTAGGCATGTAAATTATCCACTCCCGGCACGGGAAAGCAGTGACGGAAAATAACGATACGTGACTCATTCGAAGCCACTTAATCAGAATGAGTACACTCTCAACCGTAAATATCAACTTAAGGGCAAGTCTGACGCCAGCAGTTCCGATAATTTCAGCGCCAATAGAGTAAATTAAAGTTGTTGCGGTTAAAAAATAGTAGTGGAATCTACGAGTATGTCCCATACATCAGATTTATCGTAACGGTGCTCTTGACTAAATGGTCAGCTGGGCCGATACTTTTACTCTTAGCAAATTAGATTGCTTAAAGCGGGTCAAAACTTCTGAATATGTGTGAATACATTAATGGAATAAGAATTTAGTTCTGCTTGGTTGGTTTTCAGAATCCCAAGGAACAGATGGGAGTATTTCTATTGCGGCGTTAGGAGTAAAAGTATGGATCGTTCCAATATGGACAGAGACGAAAGCATTTGTCAAAAGTACATTCAATAA